CCCCACACCATCACAGAACCACCTCCATGTTTCACAGTTGGAACCAGGCAGTCAACATGAAATGCTTCTGCCAGCTTTCGCCACATAAACACACGTCCGGTGGTCTGGAATAGTGTAAAAGAGGATTCATCAGACCAGATGACATGTTCCCATTGCAGTTGTGTCCATTTTAGGTGGTCTTGGCACCACTGTAGTCTCTTCAAAGCATTCCGCGCTGAAACTAACCGTTTTGGAATAGCTACTCTGCCATGAATGTTAGCAGCATGCAACTCCTGTTGAATAGTTTTCATGGATACAAGGTTCTGAAGGTGGGTATTCATCTCGGATGTTATCACCGGCAGTGTAGTCTTGCTTCTTCCTGCCGCTGTTGTGCCTCGCTGAAGACACCTTACCCAACTTTGTGTATGCCGACAGAATCCTTGATACAGTGGTCCTTGAAACACCTACAAGGTTCGCTGTTCTGGACACGGATGCTCCAGCCAGGCGCTCCGATTATCGTGCCTCTTTTAAGGTCAGAGAGGTCGGTCATAATCTCGTTTTGCTAGAAACAGATTTTTCTCATGCAAATCTCACACTGCCAAATGCTAGACAGGTACCTTGCCTCTCATCACCACTAGGTGGCACATTCTTGCGACACGTGCCCGCCGCTTATTGGACGGTCGAAAACAACTCCATTCTTTCACAGGTGTTCCTATTATTTTGTCCTATACCTGTATTATTACAAGGTTGAGTTTTTCCTGCTTTTTGGTGGAATTCTGCCCTTTTATTTTTGAATTTAATAATAATAAAAGAATCCTTTTTTTCTAAGAAAAGTTCACTTTTTGTTCGAACTTATGAAGGAAAAAAATTAGTTTTTTACGCATTTTCGTACCTATGTAAACGCGATTCAAAATTGCATTTGCTGGATCTGAAAGTCACATCGTGATCAAATATTTATTCATGCGATTTAAATTTTTACATCACAATTTGTATTCACATGACAGAAGATTACAGATCATACGTATTCACGCAATTTGAAATGATACATCAATTAGTTTTCAAACAATTTAAAAAATCTGCCATTGGAACTCGTATTCACGCGATTTAAAAATCGCGCATCAAGATCAGAATATACACAAAATTTTTTAAAATTTTTAAAAATTCACCATTGTTCTTAATTTGACATTTTTATTATTTTTATATTGATAATGTTCTACAGATATATGCTTCTTACACTTCTTGCTGAAATTTCAGGAATTGTTTCTATTATTTAAAATTTGTTTTACATATAATGTTTTTGGATTTCTATTTTTCGTTTTTTTTTTACCAAACTCATCTCTGTATATATAATTATACTAAACATTCTTTAGTTAATTAACGGTCATCTAACCTGTAAAACTAATTTGTAGCATAAAATTGAGATTAATTATCATCTGTTTTTTTTTTATTATTGAATAATGCATGTTTTGATGTTGATCTTAAAGACCGATTATCTGGAAAAGTTAAGTTTTTGGTCTTTGTCTTAAATCCTGGCAATTTTGGATATGGGACTTTCGGCTGTATTTATTTTCCTTATTTCTATTTTACTCTGCTTTAACATTAAAAAATATTTTTGTTTAGGGATCACTCTTCCTGGTCAGATTTTTATGTGAAACTAAGTCCAGCCATTATTTCCTCTTTTGAAGATGCCAATTTTCTCTTCCACAGGCCTCCTTTGTGTATTCTCTGAGGAAGATAATCATATTAACTTTATGAAAATAAAATGTTGCCCATATCTTTAATATAGATGTCATTTATGTACATGAAGATGCCATTGGTTTTTATCATTAGTTGTAAATGCTCGTTAGTTTTTTTTATTAGTTATCATCTTGTGTCTTTGGAATTGTTATAAGTATTTACAGTGAAATATTTCACAACATTTTGTGTTGTTGCATCTATGTTTATCATTATTACATTTATGTTTTGTGAGCTTGCCCATGTTAGAAAAAGTCGTATAGATATATATGTATGTATGTGTGTATACATATATATGTATGTATATTTATGTAGCATCTATACATATATATGTATATATATGTATGTAAATATATGTGTGTGTATATATTTATATAAGAGTTGCCTAAATAAAATGACATGTATGATAACATCAGAATTACTGATTGCATTGCCACTTTCAGAGTTCTAACTTAAAATAAAAGTAGTGCCACAGGTTGCAGCCACTGATTAACCAGTTTCAATGAGACCATATACAGTGAGTGCAAAGTTATGCTGAGATAGATGTACCCAGAAAGAACAGCGCATAATATTATCATTTTTCGGGGCAATAGGTCAGCATTTTGCATAATATGGATATTTATTGTCAAATAGTTATTTATGGCAAACATCTATGAACAACTGGTATAAAATCTTTTGTGAATGGCATACAATGTCAGACCTGCCAAGACTCAACAAAGTAACACCATGTTCTCCAATGATTTTATTGTTGTTAGGAAGTCATTAAATGCTAATCAAAAGATTACATTAGTGACACCTGTACAGCATATTCTTTTAGTAAAGAATTAGTGCAATCACCATCTGTCATTAAAAATTGTACTCTTTTGCTTTGTTCTGGTTACATCCCTCTTAGCATGACTTTACCTTATTTTAAAAGGCTCTAATATGAACTGATTAATCAGTTATACACAGTGCATTTCACTTACCATCCTTTGAATCATGAATCGTGCTTTATTTCTGAGGCCATCAGACTTGTCTTGTTTTTATTTGGGCAACCTTTATATATAGATACATATTATATTGGTGAAAAAGTTTTTTTCTGGCATCTTCCTTTAACTTACTACCAGGTTTAAAGTGAAATTTTTCTGCTATACCCTGATCTACAGCCTAGATTACTAGCCTGGAAGCACATTCTAGTATTATCTAAAATTAATTATAAAATTCTGTCATTTATTTTGAAGGCTTGCTTGTTTAATAACTTTCTTAAACATTTTATGTTACTTAAAATATTAAAAAATTATTTTGGCATTAAATTTATTTATAATAAGGTGATGCAACTATGCACCATTTTGTGTTTTGCTTCTTCACTAAATTTAATTTTATTTTTGACAATCTATTCAATATGTTTTCATTAGTGAGGTGCTCCATGAAATTTTTACATAGAGACTGGGTTTTTAATTTAATATAATTTTCTGAAACTTTTCTATTGCGTATTTTCATTCCAGAAAAAAATTTTATCGCCTACCTAATATGTATATGCATATCCAGTAAGTGGCCAAAATACTTTTGTTATGTTTTTGTGAAGAGACAAATTCTTTCTGTTTCTGACTTATTTAAATTTATGTGGTAGCTATTTGCATACTTTTAAGTATTTTTATTATTGTGTAAGTGGGTTTATTATGCTGTGGGGGCATGAAGTGGGAAAATACAGATCTTCAGCTTAGATAGTACTTACTTGCCAAAGAAAAGAATTAAATTGCCTTTGATAGCTTACTTATTAACTAAAATGCAGTAGCTATTGGCTTCTTGCAGCTTTAGTTTGTTTTACTTACATAGACAGTGAGAGATTCCATGTACAGTTGTTTTATATAAATATTGTGATTTAACTTGCAGCTTTCCAGTTATACACAAATGTGTAAATACTTCTGGAGAACTACTCAAACTGTCCAATGAAAGACATTTTAATTAATTCCTTTTATTGAAAAAAAAAACCCGGAATGATTTTTAAAAATAAGCATTTAAAATTAGTATTTATTTTTATTTATATATATTTTTTTAGTATAAAAATTTATTTACATCTATTCTTTATTTGGTGAAGCATGTTTAATATGAAATATCGCCTTGAGAAATGAATTTTATCTTGAGATTTCTAATAAATTATTTTTATTGATTTTAAAATTTATCGTACAGAAAATTATATTCAATGGTTGACTTAACAATCTGTATTTGATTGAAATAAATAATGTATATATTTAATGTATAGATAATTAAATTATGTATTTATCAGCAGAAAATTGGCAACATATTTGTCAATTTTCTAAGTTGCTTGTTTCCAATTTGAATATGTTCTGTACTATAATGTTCGAGTCTTATGCATTTTTTTTTCTTTGTAATATGTTTGATTGATATTGCCATTTACTATTTTTCATACTTATCATACTATTGTTTTGTAAAACTATTTTATTTATTTGATGAAAAAAAATGAGTCTATTTTTATCTTTCAAATACATATTTGTACATTAGTACTCATAAAATACAAATATTTCGCATTTTCTTAGGGTATGGAATATTTTAATTCCATGATTACATTGATGAAAGTTCCTTTGAGTACAAAAGCCATTCATAAATAACTGCATACTACTGGTGTTAAAATTTATTTAATTTTAAAAAATATTGCTGACATAATGTAAAAATATCAGATCTGATGTACAAATAGATTTAATATGAAAGAAAGAGAAATTCTGGCACTTTATACATACTGTTCATCATATTTTTCTACGATCATCTTCATCATCATTGTTAGAAGCTGTATTGTTTCTGCTGGGCTTCTATATTGACTGTTGTAGTAATGTTGACTACTCAAAGCAGCAGGGTGGTGGAACTTCTCAAAATGTCGCACACTGTATAATTCCAAGTAGTGTGTCAACACTGCTTGCACTTAACTTCTCTTTAAGAGAAGTCTGGATATTAAATGGTGCCATCTTTCTTAATATTGTTTTTCAATTCATTAGTGTGTATGATGAAATAAAATTAGTTTTTTATTCTTTGTTCAATTAATCATTTATAATTTTTAGTTATTTCAAATGCTCCTAGCAGTTTTTAAAACAAATCTTTGACCTACAGGAGTTCTCCTTTTCTTTGCTTCAATACTCTCTCTTAAATGCCCCAGTAGTTTTATCTTTGTAAATACATAAACATGCAACAGGTTTTTTCTAACTTTCCTACTGATGGGGTCTAGCATTTCTTATCTGTCGACTAAAACTAGTTTAACAGCACACTCATTGCTAATTTTATTGCAATAATAGTGAAATGATAAACATTGACTTTAAGGCATTTTTGTTCAATAGGCCAAAATTTTTGTACTAACTTTACTCTTGTGGAATAATTCCTACATGTAACAAAAATTACATGAGTAATATGCTGGCAGCTGTTGTTGTTCATTTACGTTGCATTAGAGCTGCACAATGGTCTATTGGCGACGGTCTGGAAAACATCCCTGAGGATGATCCGAAGACATGCCATCGCAATTTTGATCCTCTGCAGAGGGGATGGCACCCCCGCAATATGCTGGCAGCAATTTACAAATTGGATTAATATTGAAGTACAAGTTGCTTAAAAAAAGTTTAATTGAGCAGGCATAAAAAAGGAATAAAAATAACATGAGCTCACAAACATTGTCTGTAGCCACTATAGAAGGTTGCAAATTATGCATTTGTATATTTGAAAAGGTTTGCCACTTAATGCAGCACCTATCAAGACCTGTAGTATTATTTGTCATAAATGTTTAACATGAATGGAAATACAGTAAAAACAGAACGAGTTTGAATGATTTTTATTATTTTTTATGAAGAGTGCCTGCTGTTAATAATTATAAAATAGTGAAGATTGAATCGAAGACACTCTGACAGCGAAGGATATCGACCTTCTACTACTTTCCTTCAAGCTTCTATCATGGAATACCCCACGATAGTAGCAACCTTTGACAATATCTATACACACAATATTTTAGCTAACTCCCTACTATACTATACTACTATAAGTGATTTATTTAAGTGAATTAGTATAAATGATTGCAAAAGCTATTTTTAAATTATATATATATACTCCAACCAGAGACACTAATTTTGGATATTCACGCAACGTCACGCACATTTTCATGAAATATTTTTAAAACAAAATGTTTTATTCTATTTTAGATATCGATGTCCAAATAACGTAAGGTAGGCACAGCCAATAATTTTTCCCATCAATTTATTAATAAAAATTGCACCAGCCTGCAAAAATTTCTTGTTTTAAAAGTAATAACTGTTTTTTTATGTATTTTCGCATGCTTATTTCAAAAATAATATCAGTTTTTACGTATGACGTACAGTTTTTTTGAAAAGTAAATTTTTTAAATAAGTAAAAATACACAGATTTTTTGCGATCTGGATAGGATAAATTAATAAAGTATGTATGTTTATCTGTTTAAATAAATTCTGAAAACCTCTTACTTTATTGAAATTAAATTCAAAACATAGATGGCAGTACTGTCTTGTATTATCTTTATTCTAAAAAATTGTACGTCAAAACAAATGCAATCACGTTAGCAGTTGTTCTACGGTTTATGTTTTAATTTTCCTGTATTTCTTTATCGTTGAACTGTGTCCTTTCTATTGTGTTTCTAATATGGCGAGTAGTTCCAGGAGATGTTGTGAGAATGATTCAAATTCATTTTGCTACATTTGTGGGCAATATATGTATGTTAACACTTTACCGACCGGTAGCGGTTCGAACATACTATGCCCTTTCACCGCCCGCTCAGCTGCAGATCGTCCGAGACACCGGCTCGGTTTCGGCCTAGACTGACGCGCGGGAATATATGTGCTTTTCTTAAACTCTGGTAAAATTGTACGCTTCGTGTTATTGTAGGGTAACGAAATTTAATATAATCTTTTACTTTAATCATATTAGTGTTAAACAATATTTATTTTATCTATTACAATCGTTTTCNTAGAAAAGTTAAGAAATTGGACTTTAGGTAAGAGTTTATCTTTACCTTTTGGAATACCTATGATATGGCGTGAACCGCAGAACAATGTGGATGACTGTTATATCTGTTTGTGTAAAATTGCAGGATATACTAAGCAATCGAAATCAAACATTGTTTACCCAAATTTAAAGTCTGCTATAAGACCTGTCGCACATTGTGAAAATATTCCTGTCCCGACACGACCTGAGGCTTTTGATAGTGCTAATATATCTAAAAGCGAAAGTGATGAAAAAGACTTCGATTTCACCGTGAAAAATGAAGCACCTGAAAAATTTAATCAAACCGAATTAAATGACTTAATTCGTGATTTCGATTTAACTAAAGAAAATGTAGAATTATTAGGCTCTCGGTTAAAAGAGAAAAATTTATTAACGACACATATGCCGTTTAGTTGGTACAGGAATCGAGAAAAGCAATTTTTATCATTTTCAAATCTGAAAAGTTCTTGGTTTATTGTGCTGACATACCTGGTTTGTTACATGAATTCGAGGATAATATTTCTTATAATTCGAATGATTGGCGACTATTTATAGATTCCTCAAAGAGGAGTCTAAAAGCAGTTTTATTGCTTAACGAATCTAAACTTGCATCATTTCCAGTTGCACATTCCGTTTTCATGAAAGAAGTATATGAAAGTATGGAGATGCTTCTCATTAAAATAAAATACACTGATCACAAGTGGGCAATATTTGGTGACTTAAAGGTTATACGTCTGCTTCTCGGGCAACAAAGTGGATTTATTAATTTCCGTGCATCATTTGTGAATGGGATAGCAGGGATAGAGAAAGTCATTGGATAAAAAAGATATGGCCGAAGAGTCAGGAATGGATTCCTGGTAAGAAGAATATTTTAAATGAATATTTAATAGATCCACAAAATGTTTTATTGCCCCCACTTCACATAAAATTGGGACTCATAAAGCAGTTTGTGAAAGCTTTGGATAAAGGTGGAAAATGTTTTGAGTATCTTATATCGAAGTTCCCAAAATTGTCTAGCACTAAAATTAAAGAAGGTGTATTTGATGGAACACAAAGAAATTAGTTAAAGATTCCAAATTTGAACAATGTATGACAAATAGAGAGAAGCAGGCTTGGGTTGCATTTAAAGATGTCGTAGAAGGTTTTTTGGGAAATGAGAGAAAAGAAAATTACAAAGAACTTGTAACTGAGTTATTACGTACTTATCATCTTTTGGGCAATATGAGCATTAAAATTCACTTCCTTCACTCACATTTGGAATACTTCCCAGACAATTTAGGAAAAATGAGTGACGAACAAGGTGAAGGATTCTACCAGGATATAAAGGAGATGGAACGCAGGTATCAAGGACGGTGGGATGTTAACATGATGGCCGATTACTGTTGGTGTTTAAAAAGAGACAGTGATGTAGACCATAAACGAAAACCCCGAAAAAGAAGCTTCTTGACTTCAAGAAAAACACAAAAGTTATCATATTATTGTAAATGAACAGCATTATTGTGTTTAGTTAATAGTAACTACAGTTGCAACTGTATTCATTATACAGCATTTTCGTAATTTTTTAATCTTCAATGGTAAAAAATGCTTACGTGTTACACAAAATTTAGTTTGCATTTTGGAATGACATCATCATTGCTGATATAAATCAACTAAAATTTTACAAACAAGAAAAAAAAAATTTTTTTTTTGCAGGCTGGTGTTATCGATGTCCTTAAATTTAAAAGTAAAAAGTCATTATGTTCTTAACTTTTAAAATCAAAAGGTATTTTTCATAAGTATTAATATTGTGTAACGAATTGTCATTTTCTTATACATAGATGACATAGCGATGTTACAAATCACATTAGGCCATGTTGTCTTCAATTAGGGTTTGTGTTAAATCTTAGACCTCCCTAAGAAAATCCTTGAGCAAGAAATGCGATGAAATATTAGTAATAAAGCTGCTGCCCAAAGCCGAAAAATTTGTGACACGTTTACAGCTCTTCATTTGGACCAAAGACGGTCAATTTAAAATTTGTAAACATGTTACAAAAAGTAATGTATAGCGCGAAAAAAAAAACTGGCCACTCTAAATAACTTTTGATCTAATAATCGGATCTTCACGTTCTAGACTAATCCTAAATGATTTAAGGGGGTGATCTCAAATATGTTAATTAATTAGTATAGACTGCATTTTAAGTTACGAAATCAGACACAAAGACGTACTTTCTCTGAATAAACATACCTTTCTTTCAACGAATTCGAATTTCTGACCCCCAAAATAAAAAGGGTAGCCGGAATCTAGAAAATTTGGTCCTTTTGGTTTGATCAGGAGAGCGATCCAAAGTTTGGACCCCTCTATGTTAATTTTACTTTTTGTGTATTTCACCATGTCTCGAGAACTTATTGAGCGAATTGAGAATTTTTTGCATACAATTACAAAATCCGCTTTTTCAAAATTTATTCCATACAAAAAATAAATTTTTTTTAATATTTATTATCTGTTATTATTTTATTTAGTAATAAACGAAAACATTTTGAAATGTAAGGTATGCAATATTTTACGTTATTTTAAAGTATGCAAATTTACAATGAAATTAAAGTATGCAAAATTGGACCGAAACCGGTTTAACAGTCTCTCAGAAATCGAATTTTAAATATACGACATCTTTAAAATTCGATTTCTCAGGAATTATTTAATCTATTCCGCTCACAATTTGTATTTTGCCATGTAAAATTACATACTTTAAAATGACGTAAAAAATTATATACCTTACATTTCAAAATGTTTTCTACAGCTATTCAATAAAATTATAAAATACTATAAATATTTATAATTTTTTTTCTTCATGGAATTATCTTTGGTTAAACGAATTATATAATTGTGTGCAAAACTTTTTCGATTCGCTTAAGAAATTCTCGAGATATTGCGAAATACGAAAAAAGTAAAAATAACATTAAGGGGTCCAAACTTTGGATCGCTCCTCTGACCAAATTATGGGGACCATATTTTCCAGATTGCGGCTACTCCCTATATTTCAGGGGTCAGAAATCCAAATTCGTGAAGAAAAAAAAAAAAGGTATGCTTATTCAGAGAAAATACGTTTTTGTGTCTGATGTCATAACTTAAAATATCGTCTATTCTAATAAATTAGCATATTTGAGGCTACCCTCTCGAATAGTTAGGAATGAGCTCTAAAACGTGAAGATCCGATCATTAGATCAAAAGTCATTAAGGGTATTCCGTTTGGCGCACTGTACACGCTTATTTTAAAATATATTTCAGTGAGCAATAAAATTATAGTGTATTATATATGTTCCAGTGATTCCATATCACCCTGCAACAAAGATACACTAAGAAATAAATATTTTAAAGTTTCGAAAAAAATTAATAATGAATTCAGCTGATTGAAAATATAATTATTAAAAGAAAATCTTATAAAAATTCCTTAGCTAAAAAAAAGAATTTTTAGTAGATTCCTTATGAAATTTCTTTTAATCGGTATTGGTTCCACGGCTACGAGTTGCCCTAGTGACCTTTCCTCCTTATTGTGTCCATTTATTCTCTTTTGCTTCGGACATAGCAAATGGCGGAAGCATTCCATGACTGATGAATGACTAAAGACATGTACAGTTCTTTCAATTGAACTCAGTTCTTAGATTTTCAGCTTCTTTCGTAAAAATTGAATTGAATATATATATTCCCTGGTCAAATCATTAGACGCATGATAAAATTCTATGTAAAATCTTAATTATCAGGAGATACAGCATTATTGTTTTTACGCGACTGAAACCGGTTTACACTTGTTTATGTTCGTGTATCAACATTGAAATGCAATACGTTAAAAATAAATACAAATCGGGAGGAAATAAAAAGTCTCCTGAAAAAAAAACCTGTTACATGTATATTTAAATATAAAAGCATTGCATATAAACTCGTGCAAAACATGTCATTATTAATACATTATAGCGCGTGGAATAATTTGATCTAATTATTATAATATACTAATATAAAACCTGATGTAATAAATATTCTATATTTATATAATATATCGTCTCATTTATCTAATCACCGAATTTATAATATATATCCTCTAATTTAACCAATTGATACACGAATGTAAACAAGTGCAAACCGGTTTCAGTAGCCTTAAAAAAAAAAAAAAAAAAACTAAAATAAAACTCACCTGATAAATAATATTATCTTATAGTGCGTCTAATAATTTAACCAGGGACTCTACAGATAATAATAATAATAATAATAAATAGATAGAGAAAATTAAAGGAGATAATAAAAACACAGAAAGAAATCTTAAGTACTGGGGAAATGTTGTAATTTCACTACTATTTAAAGTATTCGAATACCTTTTTAAGGCCAATTATGACTAAATCATCGAATTTCAGTTATTTATATATGTGACGGCTAAAGACCAAAATCGGTGGTTGTTGACTTTCACCGGTGAATGTCGACAAACACCAAATACGTCGGTGAAAGATCGAATATTTCATTACTTTCTTGTACAACATTCGGACCCTCATCGGTGTATGTCGACTATCACAGATATGCTTTGGTGAATGTCAGAAATATTTATTACATTCGATTTGATATGAATTTATTCGTGGATATAATTACATTTATTCGATATTTTAACCCTACACTGATGTTTCTTTAAGGTTAAGTGACACTGCCCGGTATACATTAGCCCGGTATACCCTACACTGATGTTTTTTTAAGATTAAGTGCCACTGCCCGGTATACATTTGCTCGGTATACCCTACACTGATGTTTTTTTAAGGTCAAGTGCCATTGCCCTGTATATATTTGCCTGATACTCCAAACGCTGATGTTTCTTCTAATCTATCGTCAGTAAGTATTAAAATATAGAATAAATATAAATATATCAAATAAATATAATAATATTAACGAATAAATTAATATAAAATTGGATATAACAAATATTTCGGACATTCACCANTAATATTTCCATACTCCAATGTAATTAATATTGGAATGTTTCCTTAATTAGAGATTGGGGGTTGACCAATACAATATTCGTCTACTTTTTTATATAAATTTTTACTTGTGAAAGTAATATTTTCATTTTTAAATAACAAAATAATTTCAAAATACATAGTAATAAGAATTTGATTCAGCCTAAAATTAAAATTCTTTTTATTTACATGCGGTATTAACTGTATAGCATCGGTTCGTGCTTTAAATGAAATGTAAAAAATGATTAAATTTTACATATATCAATTTGAAGAAGGAAAAAGTTTTCATATGAACGAAAATATTTTTAAAGCGCCAAAAAGCAGATAAAGTTAGCATCATTAATAAATATTTACAAAAAAAAGAGAAGAAATAGAATAGAATAAATATTTTAAATCAAATTATAATTTAATTATTTAAATATATAAAAAATCAAGAAGCTATTTTTATTTTAGATGTATTATTTAATATATATATATATATATTAATATTACATAACACATCTGAAATAAAAATAGTTTTATTAATTTTTATAGACTTAAATAATTTAATTATAATTTGATTTAAATTATATCCTCTTTTTTCAATAAATATTTATTAATGATGCTAACTTTATCTGCTTTTCGCCGCTTTAAAAATATTTAATAATGGTGCAACCTTCCTCGCTTTTTAGTTCCCTTCAAAACACTTATTTTTGGTGCAACCTTTCGCCGCTTTTAGGCTCTTTCAAAATTCCGATTTTTGGTGCAACCTTCTCTCGTTGTTTGGAACTAGTGAAAGCACCAATATATAGTAAAACTGAGCACGACTTTATGTAGCCAGCAAATGAATACCAATATTTGGTGCCGCATAGCTCGAAATTTTTTACAGTGTAACATATATATAAAAAAAGTTCATTGCTATCTCTCCAAAACTATTCGAATTTTATTTTTTTTCAACGTGAGCAAACGTAATAATAATTAAAAAAGTAACATTTACTCATAAGCTGAAATACCATGACCTTTCTAGTTTTATAGCTTAAAGCTTAAAACATGATTTCTTGTAATTTTCTCAATTTTTCAATGTGATATCTGTTGTCCTGCAGCTGTCTGATCGTTAAGACATGATTTCCCATAGATCATTGAAGTCAAGCATCGGATGGGTGAACACTTTGATCAACCTACGAAGGGACCGAGGGTGTGCAGTATCGGTTTTCACTAAACTGTTCTACCGTAAAGTGCTCTTTGGGCTAGCAAAGATGAGGAGTCATCCCCTCTGTAGAGGATCAAAATTTTGATGGCATGTCTTCGGATCATCTTCACGGATGTTTCCCAGACCGCCGCCAATAGCCCGTTATGCAGCTCTAGGACGACATAAATAACGTACTACACTAGCTAAAATCTGTCAGTCCAAATTATGGCTAAGCGAGCTTTTTGAGTAGAGTGGTCTTGCCGTACTGCTAAATGCTCTGTAGCGTGGAGGTTACGGGTTCGAATCCTACGTAAAGCTGGATGTATCTTAGTGATCTCACCTACAGTTGTATGTGTAACAATAAATGAATAAAAATGTCAAGGAAATAGATTACGCATTGGTTGATTAAACTATTATTTTATATCTAATCAAAGTATGAAACTGATTTACGAATTCAGAAAAAGACAAAATAAGTAAATTACATTTAAAATAATAAATCAAAATGGTAAACCAAAAAATAAACCAAACTTTTTACGTTTTCTGCTTGAATAGTATTTCTGACTTTCTACTATTATTTTACATTTTTCAGCCTAACTCTTGTATAATTAATTCTATTTTTGACTGTTTTTGTCTAATGCGTTGCAATATTAGCGGTAGGCGTTAAATAATTAGAAAATTAGAATTATGTCAATTGTATAACCTATTCTATAAGTTCAATGTGTACAAATACTATAGAGCAAGCAAAAGTAAAAAATAATTATAATAACTTACTACAAAGTTTTACGCTAAGAGACTTCAGTTTTTCTTTCCTTGGAAATTTTTTTTTTGTGACCATTTTTTACTTTTCCCCAGTTTCCCAGTATTAATGCTTAATATCATGTGTTAATGCATTATGCATACATAAGTTTTAAATAAAAATTTATAAATTATTGCAAAATTTCTTCGCCGTAGGTATTCGGGTGCGTTAAGACCCTAAAAACCGATCCCGTTTTAACGCGGATCCGACCACAAAAAACCCTGGAGTCGTATGTTTCTGGAAAAAAATTAGAAAGTTTCAGCAATAATGAAATGAAAAATTACATTTTACTATATTTTTTACTACCACAATGTTTTTTTAATAACTAAAAGTAAATATATCTAAATCCGAAATCAGAGAATTTGATTTTTAATTCCTAAATGAAATCTAAGAAACCTTTGGATTTTTTAGAACAAAATGGATAATTTTTAAACTTGAGTAGGCACGTGCGAATCCTGAAGATCAGTTTCACGCAAACGCGATTTTTAAGGTATAAAAATAATGTGGCGATCTAGCACTTCCGGATTTATAGCTCTACATTTGTTTCAAAAACCAAAAATTTTCACTGATTTTATCATTCTAGATTTCAGTTTATAAGCTTATGATTTTTATTTGACTGATTCTTTCTTTATGAGATAAAAGGGCGAAATAATAAAGCATATCAACAGATGTATAACAATATATTTGTATGTCTATTTCTATAGAAGTTTTAAATGAAGAAGTATCTTTTGTGAAATGTGCTCATTTTAGTGAGATCAGTGACCTTGAAAAAAAAGATGCGCTTCTATGAGCTCAGATGAAAAAGATCTCATTTCTCTCACAAACTTTCAAAAGAATGGATTCTTACAAAAGTAAGTCATAATTATAATAGTATCTAAATATTGTTCTTTAACCGGTTGTCTTTAAAATATTAATTTTTATAATTTTTTTACTGACTTTATATGTTGAAAATCTTATTTCTCTTGTAAACTTTCAAAAGTATGGATTCTTACAAAAGTAAATCATAATTGCATCTAAATACTGTTCTTAAACCGATTGTCTTGAAAATATTAATTTTTATGATTTTTTTACTGAATTAATAGGTTAAAAATTTTATTTCTCTCACTTACTTTGAAAAAAATGGATTCTTACAAAAGTAAGTCATAATTGTAATAGTATATCTAAATATTGTTCTTTAATTAATTTTCTTTAAAATATTAATTTTCATAATTTTTTTCCCTCAATTTGCTGAAAATCTCATTTCTCTCACATATTTTCAAAAGAATGTATTCTTACAAAAATAAATCGTAATTGTAATAGTAGCTAAATATTGTTCCTTAACTGATTGTCTTATAAATATTAATTTTTATTCTCTTTTTTTACTGATTTTAATCAAATTGTCATTAAGTTATTGATTTTTGTCTCTTATTCACAGTTATTATCCCTTTAAGACCTGCTGCAATTTGAACATACTAAGTTTTTCTTGTCTAAATTGCTCAAAACGTAAAAGTGCTAAGAAAATTATTTTGTTATTAACATTATTCTAAGAAATTTATGATAACACGAATTAGAATACATTATTGAAATTTAAGATCTAATTTTAAATTTGCAATGGTAAGAGTTTTTAATATTAAAAAGGTAGCTTTTAGAGAAGAAAACTTTGACTCAGTTTAAAATTTTTAAAATAAGCGCATTGCCACTATGCAGATTTTGGTTTAATATTTAGCCCATGCAATCGTGCAAGCTGGGTCTTGAGAGGTTATGCAATTGAAAAATCAATGTAAGTGACAAAAAATTCAAAGTTGAGATTTTTATTATTTGGCATCTTGGTATGGTAAGCCACATATTGCAATTTTTTTTTAAGAATAAACTTTATTTTATTAGCTTTGTGAATTTCTATTTTAGTGTTCATAGCATTAGCAATAGAAGGAAAATAGTTGTCAAGACATTTTTCTCGGAATCAATCGTGAAGTATTTACGTTGTTTTCTGAATTGCCCACAGTGCTTCTATCTAAGGCATGGATTCCCAATCTTTTTCTTTTTTAAGACCATCGACCACTTTGCAAGTCAAACATTTTTAAGTCTCCTAAAAACAGTTATTTAGCAAAAGTTTAGGAAACAATTAAAAAATACTTTAAAAAAAATTTTTTTTTAGCATTTTTTATATGATACGCTATTAATTATATTGTTATTTCATTGAAAATTCCTACTGACCAATGTATTGATATTTTAACTTTTACCAAGCCAATAGTTTTTTTAAAGTAACCCTCGTGTAAAAAATGTAATGAATTCAATCTATCATCTCTCAATTTAAATTAAACAATCAACTAAATACTACAGCTTACAAATTACTTCCCCTAATTATAATTTGCAAGCTAATTAAATTCGAAGTTTATAAAAAAAATGAGTACGAGGAAAATTTAAATACTTAAAATCTCTTCAAAAATTAAAATTTGATTTTTTTTTGTTGAAAAAATGTGTTTAATTAAAACAAATAATATAACAGCTATTTAGATGAAAGTATAGCCGTGTTTATATAGAAGTCGAATAAAAATAATTTTAATTTCATAAAAATTTCACATGACCCCTTATATAACGTGAATATTACAAGATTCTCATCTTTAAACTGTAAGATATTAAGTTGTGAATAGCTGGATTTGAAATCTAATTATTTCTACAGTATTCTGCAAAAAAAAATTGGTTTTAATTCAAAATGTTTAGATGTTTCAAATTAATAATGAATTGCCACTGTCTATTTTATATGCACCATACATTGAAACTATGCAAATATATATACGATCATCATTATATGTTGAAAATTATTTAATTATCGACATTTTTGCCTATTAATAAATTTAGTACTACGACCTACAAACAACGCTTTCATTGAAATCTTAAGTCCATAAAACATAGAGATATAGGCAATGGGCTTTGGCGTTTGAAACTTTAAATCAGTCATAATTTCTTTAAAAGATATTTAATAAAAATGTTTATTTTTTATTTTTTATATAGTGCTTGTTTCAAACAGTTTTTCTAATGATAGGTAACAGTGTAAAGATGAACTAGACTCAATGAAGCATAATAATTAGAAAAGAGTACTATATATTTTAAGATAAATAATTATTTGAATAAACTAATGAGTAGTGTAAAATAACTTTTAAACAGGTTATTTGAAAAATTCAAAACTATTGTAACATTATGTTCATGATGAATAAGAAATACCAAAATAATTTGCGAAAAACACACACACAAAAAAAAGAAAGAAAAAAAAATCAGCAAACATTCAAGTGTTAAGTTTTCTGCGTGAAACAGCAAGCTAAGTGTTGTCCTCACTATAATTCAATTGGTTCGGAATCCTTTTCTTATATAAAAAAAAAGGATTCCTAGTGCTAAATTAATAATTGCTTTAACAATTAGTGTAGGCTGAGTTAAATGTTTTTAAGTTTTTCAATACAAAACAAACGAAATAACTAATTTACATTCGATACTTCAAATAATTTTCTTCTGTAAGTTGAGCAAAGTAAGTTGAGTAAGTTGAGTTCTGTAAGTTGTTACCTCCTGGGGATGGTATCCCCTATGTTATGAATCTAGGACCTAAAGAGTGATTTTAAATCAATTATGCTTAAAATATTGGCGATTGTGTTTAAAATGTTAAAAAAAAATTTTATGAATTTTTTTTATTACTTATATCAAATTATTATCAAAATATTGATTTCTGTCATAATTATTGTGCTGTATTAAAAAGCTGACCAGCATTCAGGAGAAAAAAACTGGCTGCAAAATTTCTGAAACGGCATTCGAAAACTCACTACTTTACTTTTCCAATAGCTTAAAAAAATATTTATGATAAAAAATCTCTGGTAAAGATTTTTGTTCGCAAAATATTAAATTGGAAAGAAAAAACAGTGAGTTTTCAAATATCCCTTTCAAAACATTTATCAGTTTTTAGTTTTCTCGAAAAGGTGGTCAGTTTAAATACTAACTTTTATCTAAATATTGACGTTTAACAAATGGTGTTTAAAATATTGAAATTGTGTTCAAAGGTTTTTTTTTTTTTTTTTTTTTTTTTTTTTTTTTTTTTNTTTTTTTTTTTTTATTTATTTTTTTTTTTAAATCAAATTATGTTTACTCACTATTATTAATTGTTATTAAAATATTATTGATTTCTATCTGATTACAATTTATACCATGAGTGTTGAAGGCTATTTTATTTACACTTTGTATTCACATTGCTCAAACATCAACTTAGTATCAAAATTTTAGATTTTATGAAAATTTTTAGTAGTTTAATTTTTTGAGCCGTGGTGGCACAGGAGAATGAGTATTCGCTTCCTAATGAGGTAACCCGGGTTTGAATCCCAGCGATAGCTGATTGATTCGAATTCCGCACCCGGCTCACACCGACCACAGTGCTGACGAAAAATATCCTCAGTGGTGGACGGATCATGGGTTAGAGTTCCCTTGCCATTAGGCTAACCGTGGGAGGATTTCGTAGGTTTCCTCTCCATTTAACGCAAATGCAGCTTAGTTCCGTTAAAAAGTCCTTCACGAAGGCAAATTTCTACCAACAATTGATCCAAGAGTTCCGTGGTCTTCTGGATTGGGTTCAAAAATACAAGGTGAAGGAGTTGCAACATTTGCAGTCGTAAATTCAAAATTTGGGTCGGCTGTTCAACGAGGGTTATAAAATAAAATAAAATAGTTTAATTTGTTTTATTACGATAAAAGTAAAATAGATTTTCTAAAAGCAAAACGATAATGGGTAATATTTCTCAATTAAGTTTAATGAGTCTAAAAAATGTCTACAATCAGCATTGAGAGCCATTTTTATAGTAGTAGTTGTTTATTCCTGTTTCAAGATTAAGTAAAAACTGTTATAAATATTTAAGGGGTCTCATTACCCTGGAAGCTGATAACACAAGTAAATATAAAAAATTTCAAACTACTGCAGCAAAAGTAGAAATCTGAATTTTGAGTTAATAAAAATATATACTACAAGTATTTACTTGTCACCGTGAAATTACACATGGTAAATATAATTTTCATAATTTAAAATTATACACGATGGAAATTTGACTTTTTTGGAACATGTAAAATGCGGCGCACTTGATAACGAGCTAAGTTATTGTACAATTCCAATATTTTTCTTAAGTTGTGCTTAAATATTACAATTATAAATTGTACATAGTTTTAAAGCTCTATTTTAAGCTTTAGTACTTTTTAAAGGTATAAAACTGATAAATTTGAAATTTTTGAATGTAAAAAATATTTAAAGCAAGTATAACCTAAATATTTAAGTATAAGTTGTTTGATATAAATCTTTGAAAAAATTGTTCATTTAGAAGTTGTAGTACTTTGAAATGATCTGTGTTGACGTGTACTTTTAAGAATCTTGAGACTCCTTAAGAAGTTTTATTAAAGTATTTTATATACATAAAAGCCACATATTTATAATACAAACAATGCATTATATACAAGAGATGATATATCATAATTTTCATGGTAAAAAAAAAAGATTATCTGCTTAGAAGTTGTATCACTTTGAAATGTTATATAATCACGTGTACTTTTAAGGGTTTCTTAAAAAGTTGTAATAGTCTAATTGAAATTATTTTCAATATTTAAGAAACTAGTGCTTTAAAAAGTTACAAGGTGGTTTTTATAACAGTAAGAGTTTCAACGTGGAAGTTGCATCAATTTGAAATGTTATGAGATCACGTGAACTTTTAAGGATTTCTTAAAAAGTTTTAATAGTTTGATTGAAAATATTTTTAATATTTAAAAAAGCTAGTGTTTTAAAAAGTTATAATGTAATTTTTATAATGATAAAAGAAAAATATTTTCTGCATGGAAGTTGTAATGCATCTGAAAAAAGGTTTTAATATCTTAATTAGTCATTTTCAACATGTAAAAGTCTTTTTTTTTTTAAAAAATTGACAATTTTTACAATGGTAAGGAAATTTGTCATGTTTTTTACTTAAGTCTAAATCTATCTAAAAAAAGTTTGAAAAGTTTGGTAAAATTAGATTAACTGTAAAAATTAAACATATTTTGTGTGTTAAAAAATAATTTTGTATATTTCTAAAATAATTTTAAACATAATATTAGCGTCATTTTGCATGTAAGTGAAATAAGTGCCTAATAATTGAATATTTTGCTTACTTAGAAAATTTTGAAAGTGTAAGTTTAGCTGTTTCGATATTTTAAACGAGATTTTAAGATTTTAAAAACAGGTTTTCTATGAAGCAGCATTGATAATATAATAAATTTCACTGTCTTTCACTCTTAAAAAAAATCGTATCGTGGTGATGGCTATTTTGTCGTATTTTTATTCCATTACTTTAAATACTGCGGTGGAATTTATTAAAATTTTTAAAGTGTAGATCACAAACGTTTTTCAATTTTACAAAACTGTAGCTTTTCATTCTTCCTTTGCATTGTTTTCATAAATAGAATACAGAACATTGACTTAAGATGGACAAAATGTAAAAACAGGCATGAAAAAAATCAAAAAATCAGCAGGATATTCGCTAAAAAGCGTTAGTTCATATGAGTACACAGCATTCGAAGAACAGCCTAAAAGTTTAATACTTCGTTTACACTGACCGGCAGATGTAACTTATGCATTTAATCTCACTGACCCGTGAGAGGTTTAGGAGAGACATTTAAGTGCAATCAATTGCTCAGTGCAAACTGAATCAGTGTAATAAAAACTGGCTGAATTAAGAAATTCATTTTTTTGCAGGTTCCATTTGTTGGATTGTTGTATTGTTTATTGCTGAAGTCTATTCAACAGGAAAAAGTCTGAGTAGCCACAGAACGAGCGAAAGCAATAAAATTCCATGGGAGATACTTTTGGATCCAAATCATAGAAAGCCTATTTTGAATCAGACATCACGCCGCCAACTTCCAGCTACACTTCCTTCCACAAATCATTACAAAATATTATCTCAGAATCAAAAGCCTCCAACAGTTACGAATTCTGGTTTCGCAAATGTTGCTACATTTCGTCCAAAACAAAAATTCAACCAATTCCCAAACAGTAACTTTTTTAAACAACAGGAAAAACAAGAAAAGCATAGAAGAAGAAAACCGGAAAAAAGGTTCATTTATTAAATTTTTTTTTCTTCATTATTTTGTTATGCATTCGACTAAAAATCATGAGCGAATTATTTTTAAGTACTTTTTTAGAAATTCTGCAGATTTTTTGAAGGAAGAAAATAAATTAGCATCTTTCTTTTATTTAATCTTTACAAAATCTGCAAGCAAATTTCATTTTAATTTCTGTAAATTTTTTTTGCTGTCTTACAAAATCTGCATTTTGCCACTATTTAGTACATTTTGACATAATAATCTCCTTGACGAAAAATCTGCAGATTTTTGGGGATGAAACTGCAATTTATTAATATTTATGTTTCTCTAAATAAATATTTTGTTACATATTCTCCATTATCGTAGCTTTATTTTTCAAAGGCTAAAAAACTAAATTAAAATTTAATCATTATTATTGTTTATTTTTACAGCTGACATTAGTTTCATCAGTTTCTTAATTAATAGCGATATCAATAAAATATTTGTTAAAACAAATTCCAACGATGAGCTGAAACTGCCAAGTAATAAAATAAGATTGACTATCGCAAGCATATTTAACACTCCATAAAAATTAAGATAAGTTGATATACTTTAAGTACACAGACGCGCAAATGGGTAACTCACACTATTAAGGAAAGCGGGATTAAAAACACCAGAATTTTTTGACCAAAACTGCACCCAAAATATCCTGAATATATATATATATCTAAAGATACTCTTTATAAAATATTAGTCAAAAACTATTCGGATGAGTGTTTAGTTTAATTTTATTTCATTTTTCCTATCATAAATATAAAATGGTTCTCTCAAAAGAGATTAAAGTAATATTCCATAATATATCGATATTATTTTTACAACATACAGTTCGAAAAACATCATCGACAATCGAAGTTCTAATCTGAATAAATTATCTGAATTCCGAGCTATATTATAATTGGAGATATAAGATTTTATACAGGGTGATTCAGTTTCATGATTAAAAACTTGAAACGCAGGTGGTATGGTGGGCCGAAAGAACCAAGGTTTTTATTTTCAAAGTGCTATAGTGTCAAAAAGATGCTTTATGTAAACAGAAGAAAATTGATGTAAAGAATTTCGCCCCTATTATGAGCTATACACATTTGTCACGGTGCTTTTTAATTTTCTTAATATGTTAAAATATGTTTTGTAAATTTTCTTTATATGTTAAATTTACGTTTCCTAACAGTTATTGCCGAAAACTGAGTTCGGATATGTTCAGATTTAGCTGTTATATCGTAATTAATTTGTTTGGCGACTAACTTGCAAAACTCGCCAATTCGCTTGCAAATTAATAAATTATAAAACAGCTATTTATGTTGTCATTTGAATCTATATATTTTTCTATATTTGATTGTAATTGTTAGAAACATTAAATTCACGTAAAGATAAGATAAATAAAATTACCCATTCATATATGCGCGAAGAGCCATAATAGCAAAACACTTGATGCGACGCGTCATGAGATTTTCGGTCTCGAGTTTCTATGCTATTCTCAAACCTTATGATCTGCCCTACTTTAAGTTTTTAACTGAATCTCCCCCTGTATGAAATAAGTTTTATTATTTATTTGGATTACAATTGTTTTAACAATAATTTAATATCTTATTATAAAATCTAGTTTTGAAACTGAGATATTAAACATATTGTTCTTCTTCCTTTTATAGGAAACCAGTTGACAGTGGTGAAAATTTTTTTCCCGATTATGATGATTTTGAATCTGTAAATCAACATCATTTCGGATATCCCCAGCATCTGATTCCTTCCGATTCAGATGATTATTATACTAAAGCTAAGGACCTCATCAAATTGGGAAGTTACGGGAAACCAACTTATTCATCTTCAGATCATAATGATGGCTATCATAATGATGGTTATCATAATGATGGCTATGGCTCTCATGATAATTATGGTACTCATGATGGATATAATAATGGTTATGGTAATTTCCTTATTTTTATATAAGACTTTTAATGCAATGGTATTTCCTGCAGTTAGCTTTTAAATTTTACAGAAAGTCTTGCAATTGCGATAAAAAGAACTTTTTTCCAAATCTGTAAACTTACCCGCCATTTGTAGAATTGATTTTTTTCTCTTCCAGAACGATGTTCTTTCTTTCTTTAAAGAACGATGCTCTTAATTTAAAGTAACAAACTACTTCACAGCAGAAGACACAATAGGTTTTTCAAAATTTAGTAAGCTCATTTTATAATATAATAAAATATAAATTCAGACTTTTCCTAATTGTTGACATTATATAATTTGTAACAAGAAAACTCTGTTAGTGCAAAATTTTCCATTTTCTCTCTCAAAGAAATTGGTTTAATATTATAATTTGGTACAACTTAGCATGATATTACGGTGCAACGTGTTCCAAAATTTTCTAACAGCAAGCAAAAGAGCCAAAGGTTGAAATATCTGCAATCATAAAACGTTATCAACAGGAATAGAAATTGCAAAAAATGTAGCACTGATGTGACAGAGAGAGAATCTTACATTTAAAGTGAAACAATATGTTTTAAGTATAATATATTATTAAGGTAACACAATATATTTTTAAGATGAAACTTGTTTTTTTTTCTTCAGCAAAATGACCTGTCAGATGAGGCCTATACACACGGACACTAAAGATATAATTTTTTTTTTAATAAAGCAATATCATCTGTGACAAATACTGCCTCAACACTTCGAATTCTCTTGTAAAAACACCAAACTTGCCGCTAAGTTTGATTAGGTTGAAACTGTTATATTTTGGGGTAAAAAATACCCCTTACGTTAAAAACTTACTTTTTAATCCTTTTAATGCAAGCTAACAAGGGATATCGAAGCATCTCTTGAAAGTTGAAATAGAACGCAAATTTGGAACGAATGCAAGTTTTTACTCATTTAGCCAGTGTTATATCCAAGCGATGCAATTCAGAACTCACTAAGTACAGATGATTGCATCTACAGATCTTCAACTGTTCTTTTCGAAACCAGTCACTAGACTTGTTACTAGAGACAAGTTACTTGTAGAACCCGATTAACAAATCTAAATAGCAGTGTTCTGACAAATTTCTAACAAATAGGGATTTTGACTGAAATTTCGGTAGAACTTGTCAAGAAAATCGATTTCGTGCCATAGCAGCATACTCAAAGGTTGCTCCTATTATTAACTTTACTGTCATTCATAGTAAGCCGAGTGGCCTGGAAAAGCGGAGAAGGGTAAGGCAATCACCGTATTTCGAAAGGGGCTCAGTCCTGTTCACTATTTTTCAATAAAGCTGAAAATCAAACTATTTTCTACTTTTTTTAACATCTTGGAAAGACTGAAATAAATTATATTTATGGTCTAGGCCAGAGATGACGAATCTTTCTGGATTAGCGTACCAGTTAACGCTGTTTTTCGAAGCTCTGTCACCAAGGAGAATAAAAAAGCTATAGTTTAAGTGCCTTACACTTAAAGCAATGCGATGATTTTAAACTATATACATAATCTTATCGTAAAGAATTACCTGTGCTTCAGAACGGACAAATAACTTAAATGTTTTAAAAGTTATTAAACTTTCTCAAAAATCATCAATTTGGCGAAATTTTTTCACCTAGATAAATATTATCAGAATCACTGCCTTATTCTCAGTTTTTACAAATTTTTATGAGCCCAGGTAGTGCAGCTTTGGAGTATGGAGTAAGTATTTAAATATTAAAAAATTGAACCAAAAACACTCTTTATTTTTGCAAAACTGTGATTTTTCTCCATACTGACGCTTTGCGCCATTTTCAAAATAAGCGTGGTCAGCGCTGGCTTTAAATAGGCTAAACTTGACTTAACAGTCATGAGTGCTTACTTATATAGTCATGACTTAACAGTCATGAGTCTTGACTTAACAGTCATGACAGTTGTAAACTCACAACAGTTATAAAAATAACATATTATTCCCAAAAAAGTATTTCATAATACGACAGAGTCTTCAGAAAACAGCCCTAAAGTGCGCAGTATTATTTTCACGCGTCCTGTGTGTCATTAGTTATATATATTTTTTTAAAAAAAGTAATCTTTAAACCACTACTTTAACATCAAATCACAGAATTACATTTTGGAACTTTATTTACCGTATAGATTTTTACTTGCTTCAAATGGAAATCGAATAAACATAAAAATATTACAGTTTAATATTATGGTTAGGTGAAAGATCCTAAAAACGCGAGTTTTATTGTAAGTAATAAAATAAAGGTAATTGATGATAAGTATTTTTAATTTTTTGCAATAGGAAAAAATGAGATGCTTCAATACGATTCAAAACATGATTTTTTTAAGGATTTTACTTAAATGGTGTCTGCCTCTATAAAATGAGTATCTAAATAAGCTTTATACTTTTCAAAATGTTGTTATAAATTTATATATAGTCAACTTTACGGTTTATAAAGAGGGTCTCGGATTGGAATCTTACAGACTATAAAAAACTTCAATATTTGCTGTTGTTGACAATTTCTCTTCTACGTTTTTCCTTCACATTTAATTCTAGATTTTTATCTTCGCGTTATGTTTCACAGGTTAGTGATTAAAAATGATTTAATGACTTATTTTCTTGTCTAAACATCAAAGTCTGAGTGGCGAAACCACAATGTATATCTAGAGTTCGGGAGAACTCTAGCTCGAAGTAATCTTATGTATCTCGGGTTTGGGCGAACTATTCTTTTCAGTAATCCTATGAATCTCGGGCTTGGGTGGGTTCGAATTAAAATTTTTCGGGCTCGGACTTCCAAAAGCGAGCTTAAACTCATCTCTAAGATATATAACTGATGGTTTATGTTTACTAATGCTTTACGTTTTTCCGTCGTATAAACAAACGAATTCAATATTGCACAGATTAAGAATGAACTAGGACTATAGTGAAATGACGTATAAATGAGAAAGATATACAAATGAGAAACGTATAAACGATGCTTTACTATATTAAAATTTATGTTTGCAGTGATCTTTTTCATGAAAGTTTCCTTCTAGGTTATTCTGAAGAATATCATCCGTATAAAAGTAAGTCCTCTAAATATGTGGCATTTGCTTTAGGATTACTTCCACTTGGACTGTTGTTAGCTTCTCTTGTACCTACAGTAGTAACAATACCAGTTTCAACAGCAGTTGCTACTGGTAGGAGAAGAAAGAGATCGGTAAGTAACTTCTTTTCCATCAAGAAAGCATTTTTGCGAAAATATGAGGGGAAAAAAGTGAGTGGAGACACTGAGAAAAAAAGTATGGTCAAAATTAACAGCATGTGGTTAAATTTACCGTGTTTCTAATTCTATGGGAGCACCAAAAAGCTCGGTAATTTTTACGGCACTTTGGTAATTCTTTTAGTAAAATTAACAATAATGTAGGGCTTCATAATATATAATAAAATTTAGCAAATGAGTTAAAATTTCATAATTTTATCGTGATACTTTAGAGCATGGTATAAAAGCCATTTATATGGTAAAGTTTACATATCCGTTTTGTGTTTTTTACTGACTATGTGATTGAAAGAACTATAATTTTGAAAACCAGAACTTCCGATAAAAGTTTGCCATATGAACAGAAAAATTTCTAAATAAATGGTTTAAATACCGTCTATTTTGGTTTTATTAAATAAATTCTAGTTTTTTATTTTTTTAATTGAAATGTCATTACCATACTGTACGGTAATTTTATCAGAGTTTCCTTCAAATTTTAAAAATATGACTTCTTTAAGATTCGATTTCTTAGGAACTATTCGACCGATTTCGATCAAATTTTGTAAATTCCATTTTCAAAATTTCATTATTTAAAATCATGTAAAAATTGCTTACTGTAATATTCAAAAAATGTTCCGACTATTATTAAATAAAATAAAGAAAATAAAAAATATATATTAAACGTTATATTTTGCACGGAAATTATCTTTGGATAAACGAATATTATAATTGTGCACAAAATTTTTTCAGTTCACTGAAAAATTTCTCGAGCTATAGCAAAATACGCAATAAGTAAAATTAACATTAAAGTTATTGAAATAATTATTTCATTAATTAAAGTTATTAAAATTAATTATTACTTTAATTAAATAAAACTTACATAATTGAAATTAACTGCACTTTGAACCTCTCTCCCGACTAAACTATTAGGATCATATTTCCCAGATAGCCGATACACCCTTTATTTTGGAAATTAAAAATCCGAATTCATCGAAAAAAAGGTATGTATATTTAGAGAAAGAAATTTTTTGCGTCTGATTTCGTAGCTTTAATATTGTCTGCATGAATTAATTAGCATATTTGAGATCATTCCCACGAACCTTTAAGATTGAGCTCTTGAACTTGAAGAGCCAATCATTAGATCAAAAGTTAATCAGGGTGGTCCGTTTTTTTGTGCACTGTACTTATTATCGGTTAAAAGTAAGAATATTAAGACAGAAAAACAGCATTTTTAAGGATTGCTTTATTATTAAAAGAGCCCAGTCACAGCTAGTTGGAAATAAGAGTATCAAAACATGTTTAATCCATTAGGAGGAATTGTATTTAAGTTTCAACCAACAATCAACCTGGTGCTTAATATCCTTATCCTCTTTTGAATATTAATTTGCGAATCCAAGTGTTTTTGAGTACAAATATTTTTTAACCTATTGAAAGACTTCATATATTTTCGATACATTTTTGAAGAAGATTCCAAAAATATTTGTGTTAACATATGTGTGTAAAATATATGTGTGTGAAGAAGGTGGAAAACTTTCCATTTTCTTCCTGAAAAACCAACTTTCAAGAGTAAAATGCACTTCAGGAATACTTTGTGTATGGTTAAAAGCAATAGGATAGTTTAGAATTTTTTTACGAAAGTATTAAAGATTTTTGTTTATCAGTTGATCGATGAAAATTGTTTCTACACTGCTTGACAATTGCTTAGGAATGACTGATTTATGCGAAGTAGCGTTTTTGACAACCGACCAATTACCGTAAAATGTTATCCGTATAAAATGCAATGTATACAAGCTCTTCATTCATTCGAAAACTCATGCTGTTACGTGTTTAATATAGAGCAGTAGGTAGGTTTACTTATTGCATAACAACTTTGAATTTCACAGAAATAAGTGCTAAATATCTGCAAAACATAATTTGAGTGCTTATGATCGTGGACGTGCAGTTGGACGACTGGTGCGGATTAAAATGTCATTACAGTGGCCATAGTAATGGGAGTGTCAAAAACTGTCATCTCGCGATTTAAAAGGCCACTGAAGCTTAAAATGCTATAGGTAAGTATGCCAATGGTCGTGGTAACACCACACCTCAAGGAGATCTCTATGTATCCCTAGTGGCGAAAAGGAACAGAAACGTCACTCCTAGTAAGATAGCTGCGGCTTTGCAACCACTACCGGTGCACAGGTTTCTGCCAAAACAAACTCACGGCGATTAAATCAAATTGGTTTATATGCACGGTTCGATGCATCTCGCTTCAACTTCGTCCATCGTCGAGAAAGATCGCGCTGGTGTAAGGAATATCTGGCTTAGAGTGATATTCTACGACCCATCCCGCATCACTGTGACAAGTTATTCAAGCCATCAGTTAGTGTGGAGCGAGAGAGAGAGGTTATGCACAACAGTAGGTTTATGAGCGTTATTGGTGTGGACTAGGTTGGTTGGCATGAGCAGGCATAATGCACAATGGCAGAATACCGCTTCACACCGTTGAGCGAAGTCGTGCTACTTCCCAGTGATATTGCAGAGAGATTTTTTTGGTTCATGCTCGTCTCTTTAGGGGGGGGAGATAGGTCTAGAATTTCTGTTTATAAATGCGCGTTCACACAAGAGCGCTGAGATATCGCACGCACTAGAAAGTGAAGATATTGTCGATAAGCAATGACCTGCGTACTCCCCAGACCTGATTCCTATAGAATCTACCTGTGATGTTCTTGGTTGAGGAGTTTCATAAAGAGCACGCCCTCCCCGAACTGTTTAAGAGCTGATAACAGCTTTGAGAGAGGTGTGAGATGATAACCCCCAAAGATGCAAAATATGCATTTGTGCCCAAAGTTATCATACATCTTACTGAAATACTCATCTCTGTTTTATTCTGGAATGAAGACAAATTTTTCGTCGCTGTTTGGAAATCTTCTAAGGAGCATATTTTTTATATTTAATTTTCTTATTTTTTGATGTGGCAATGTTTGTACCATTCTGCATTATGATAAATGCACATGGGCTTCTCTAAATATGTACTTAGTTTTCTTTCTTCAATTATTGTCTACTATTAATTATTGAGAAAAATGTTACTGTTCTTTAGCAATTGACAAGCACTGTATATGCCTTCTTATAAAAACTAAGCAGTTTCGACTCCTAATATGTTGGCTGTAGGGTTCGTTACTTTCTCATAAAATCGATTGACATTTGCTACGGCTTTAAGTAATTCAACTATAATATCATGTAATCAATGATATATATAGTATTTGAAACTGTAATAAGGTTGCAATTTTACTACATTTTAAAATCATTCCAAAATTGCTATTGTGCGTCGATAATGTGTTTGCCAGCTTGAAAATTATGGTTCTAAACTATTCGTCTCTTAAGCTTTTAGTAAATATTATTTCAATAAATAATAATAGAGAATTTTTCTAACTTTAGTTGTATGTATAAATAAATTTATATTGAAATCAAAGGTAATAAGGAAAACAGGGAGTTCTGGCAAAAGGAGTTCCTATCAAATAATGAAATGGTTATGCAACAAAGAGATGTAAATAAAACATGTTTAAGAACTAATACATTTTTGCTTTCGTCTTAAATCAGTAAGTTAGTTTTTTAAAAAAAAATTATATTAATTTGGTAATATCGTATGTTGCTGTTGAATATAGGAGATAAAGAATTGACAAAACTATTGAATTAAAAAACAGAAAATGAATTTTTACCGAATATTCTGAACTATTTTTGAAATATATTGTTAAGGTAATATAAAATATAACAAGTTATTCCACAATATAACCATATATCCATATTATAACAAGTCATTCATATGTAAAGTAGATTTTTCGCTGCTTTTAAATTATTATTAATGAACTAAATTTTTTTCTTTTTTTTTTTACAGGTTGACAAAGAATATGAAATATAGCGAATTGTGAATGAATCCTTGAAGTTTCCTACCCTTCAGAAACGTTTTATTTTGCTTAGTTATTGATATGATCTTAATGTAACAATGTTAAATGCATAATAGGACAAATAAATAGTTTATATATTTAAAATTTGAAACTGCTTTAACTTTATACCACATTAAATTGCCTAATATAATAACTGACGAGAACTGCCGTGCAATTGAAAAACAACGTTAGAAAAACACTATAGATTTCGAGTAAAGTAGTTTGACAAACTATTTTCTTTCTATGAACATTAAAATTGAATTACAAAAAAGTGATGAAACGAAATCTTTCTTGCAATATGTAGCTTATCATACAAAGATGCTAAATATCTAAAAATCTCAATTTAGAATTTTTTTTTGTCGCTTACACTGATTTTTCTATTGCAGAGCATTGCACCAGTTCAGAAGTAATTTCCTCTGGTTATTGTAAGCAAATTTAACAATTGTGCAACTTCAATGAAAACCTTTTTTTTCCAGAAAAATAAATCTATCGCATTTTAAAACATTTATCTTACGTTTGCAATGCAAGAAAAATGTATTTTCAATTTATAATCAAAGTTACATTCAGTGCATTGTAAATATTCATTTAAAACACTTCCTGTTTAAGTATTATTCTGATCAAACTAAGTATCATTAAAAGCAGTGATGATAGATACTAAATACGAAACCAACAAAAGATCGAACAAGCAAATATCAATTAGTTTGAAATATTTTATTAAAGCAAAACAAAATTTTTCAGTACATACATAGAGAAATCATTTACCAGAAAAAATGGAAATTATCTCTTAAAACTACCTTACCGACTTATGAGTTTTAGTTGATAAACTGTCATTTTTAATCCAGTTATTATAATGTACTTCACTTTTTTCGCGTATTACCTAATGCTTTGTTATCTGCCTATTTTGAAATTGTATATTTTAATTTGTATTCCGTTTTATACAATCAAATTGCTTTGTGTAATAAATAAGGGTTTTTATAACATTTTTATTTAGTTCATGAATTTCAAATTAATAAATTTACTTCTAAATTTCAAAAAGTACAATAGTTTATTGTGATATAATTTTTCCATGCCATGCAGGTTGAGTAAATCAAACAATAACTAAACCCGCATTTAATTAGAAAATTAACAGAATGTAGTTGAATTTATTTGCCTTAAAAATAAATTTGTACTTAATTTTTGAAATAATGTAATAAACTTTGATGCCTTCAAAGAGCGATTTTTTTTCTTTGAAGAAATATAATTGATTTTACCTTAGTTAATCGGAATTTTTAATTTCAACTAAAAATTTTTTAGAAAAGGTAAGATATTTGATTCGAGTAATCTTTCTGGCAGTTTTATGGCACATAAATATTTTATGAGTTATAATACTTGAGTTAAGGCAAATACATTGGAATGTGTTTAACTGTAGTTAAATTTTAATTTATAAAAGGAATTTTTTTTGAGCAATAAAATGCTTTAAGAATATATAGAAGCTTCAGCTAATTTTTGAAATACAAAATTTATTAATTACTATTTCGCAAATGAAGGTCTAATATTATAAGGAAATGAACAGCTATAATAAAAACAGAACACAGAAACTAGCCTAAACTTCATTTCAAACATATCTTGTAGAGATTTTTAGAAATGTTTATGTTATCACTGGTGTGAATCAGAGACGCAAAGGTTTAAACTTATGTATGAAAAAAAAGGATCTGAGGAGTGCAGTATAAAAACTGTACAAGTGCGCAAAATATCATTAAGACATGCAGCAAGCATATGGAGAAGTTCATAAGACATGAATACAGAAATTAAATGTTTGTGATGGGTAAGAAAGGCTATATCGAGTAAGAAAGGCTCTAAAGAATGACATAAAACATAAATAGTTGCAAAATTAATTATTCTTTTATTTAAAATCTTCTCCAAAGAGCAGGAAGTAAGATTGAAGAATAAATTTTGAATTGTTCAAATATTAATTATAAAATAACTTTTGCATTAATCATGCATTTGGCACGTGATTATGCAACCAGATTTGATCAAAACAATTGGTATACTGAAGTGGAATGAGTTAAGGGGTTTATCTCTAAATTCCCTTACAAAGAAAATGAGAATACAACCTTTTTTTCACAAACCAGTTAAAAAAAAAAAATAAAATAAAAAAAAACCTAATCTAGTAGTGATACCGATTCTCTATTTTCTGTGCGCAATCATCGACCAGTAGTTAGTGAAAAAGGAGACGGAAAAATATTTTTCATAGAAGGGTTTAGATACTATCAAAATCGATTGATTTTTGTTTAATTTCGTACCGAAAAAGGTAGGTTAATTTAATCAAATGCTAATCAAGTATCAATCAATCCAAAATGGTACAAGTAACCTAAATCAAGTGTTACCTAAATCAAGCTTCAAATAAGTGCATTAAATCTAATTTAAACTATTCTAAATTTGGTTATTTTATATAGTAAGTCACTTTAAATTAGTAAATTTTTTTTGATTTAACTGTTTAGTTTTTGCTTTTATCATTCATATACTTTGCACAACTTACTTTTCAATAAAAAACTACCCTTCAGTAAATATTATTTGTGTAAAGATGCCTCAGTTTTTGTTTAAATCATAGAGCACCTTTGAGCTAAAGCTTTATTGTTAAATCTTTATAAGCTTTTTTGTTTAAATTTTAAATATGAGAATTATGGATCAAACAAATTTTTCAAAAAATTATCAAAGGTTCCCCGGTTAAAAGTTCGTATAAGTCCGGTTCATAGTTCCCATGGGACACCTTTGAACAAAATCTTTCAAGTCTTTAAAAGCTTTGTCATTTTTTTCATCTAATCAGAAAATTTCAGTTTTAGTTTTATGAATTAAAGAATTGTATATGTATTTTCAGTGCACGGTTTAATTTATCAAAGATAAGAGTTGCTTTTTCGGCATTGATATTTTCATACTTAAAGTTTTTATGAGTCAAGGGTCACAGACAATTACATGTGAAATATTTTAATAATTAAATACAGTCATTCAAAAACTTGTATTATTATCAATTTTTTGAGAATAACAATATTTGTGCAGTAATTACTGAAAATTGTTTTTGCGAGGTCTGCAAGAGATATTATTGAGGAAATCGATTGTCCAAATTGTACCACCTGCTCCCTAAATCTTACCACTCTCAAATATTTTGATTATTTATGATTAAGTGAATAAGGTAGGACATATGTAACCCAAACTTATAGTTTAATAGTAGGACTGGGCGATATTAGAAATTATATATCGTGATGCATCGTCAGTTTTGTATCGCGATATAGTATTTTTGAATTTCATTTACTTGTGAGGCACAGAATGTCTGATTTCTATCAAAACTTCATACTCAGATTGATTTAAATCAATTTATAAATTTGAAGATATATATGTTTTGCTTAAGAAAGATATTAAATAAATTGACTACAATGTACAAATCTTACTTAAAATATTTATTGAAATGTTTGTTTAGAAATTCATAATACGCGTAAAACAAAGTGTTAAAAACTTTTTTTTTAAAGCGTTTTTTACAAATTAATATTTTCTTGTACTATTATGCATAAATAATTACATAATTATTAAGTTCGATCGTAATGTTCAATTTCTAAATGAAACGTTAAAAATTATTAGTATGTTTAAAACAAAGTGCTAAATAAATTTTAGAAAAAAAAAACGCTTTTAAAACACTATTTTTTATTATTATCATTTCAGTTATCATACTTCTATTATAGTTCATTTACGTCACACTAGAGCTGTACAATGGGCTATTGGTGACGGTCTGGGAAACATCCCTGAGGATTATCCGAAGACATGCCATCACAATTTTGATTCTATGCAGTGAGGATGACTCCTCCACTTTTGTAGCCCGACTGACTTGCGCATGAGGTCAAGCACTTTAACCCCTTCCCTCTCACTCCCGTGAAAATGACAGGGTGAGGTTTCGCCCTCTATTTCTCGCTCTCGTGAAATTTGCGGGCTGGAGTGTTCAGTAGTAACGCGCCAATAAGAATAAAATAATTCATTTCCTTTGCCCGGAAAACATTTTATTTCTCATTTTACACACCAGATGGCAGTAGCAAGATATTTTTAAGGTAATTGTAGGTAGTTAGTTTACTTTAAACTAGATGTCAACACTAATCAAATACGTGTATTTGGCAAAATAGGCACTTTTATGACCGTTTACTTAAAAATTAAATCGTTAAGGGGTTACAGTAGAACTGTTTAATAAGGACCGATACCACGTTTTGACGATCCCTACGCGGGGTTGATCAAAGAGATCCACTCGCTTACTGACCACAGCCAGTGGTGCTTAACTTTGTATTCTACTGGAAACCGTGTCTTTACGATCAGTTCTCAACGATACCATTTTCTGAAAGACCATGCAATGATAAATTAGTTAAANAAAAAAAAAAAAAAAAAAAAAAAAAAAAAAAAAAAAAAAAAAAAAAAAAAAAAAAAAAAAAAAAAAAAAAGCTGAGAGGTGCGAAAAGGAACATGCGATATAACGATATGTGTTCGCAAAACTCTGATTCTACAGCTCACCAATCAAGGCCGTTTCAACATACCGAAACGTACATAGTCTTCCACAGCGCGAGTCGATATCGGAACGTAAGAGAAGAGTCTTATAAATTAAAAGGATATATAAGATAACGCAAGGATATCGTTATCTTATATCCTTGCGTGTCTTATATCGCTATATCGTTTTGCGCTCGTTGTCTTCACTCGACGGCTTAAATCAGATTTCTGATGCATCGCCTTGAATGACAGTCGCTGTATCGTCTTGCCGATATATGCGTTAAATCGATATGTCTCGATACTTCGATTTATATCCCAGTCCTATTTAATAGCATAATGAAAAATGTAATTTAAAAATTTTGAGTTGTTACAAATATAGTAACAGCATAAGTGTATAAAATGTCAAGTTAGCACGATACTACGTTCTAAAAGTTTAAGTGTGACTTTTATATGCGTTGCTTTTTAGGACTGCATCTTTGCCATCTCTTCTATAACAAATGTTCTTTTTTTAATTTTTAGAAGTAAAGAAATTGGCTCGATTGAAACTTTCAACATAGAAGGTACTGGGACAAATCCATCTATCAAATCACCTTACAATCCAACAAATG